CGAAGTGCATTCTGTGGTTCTGTATGTCTATACTGTTTGGCACAGAAAAGTCAGGACTACTTTAAATGCTACACACACACAAAATATATAAAATTCCTTAAAGGCTGTGATGTGGTTCTTATGCAACCAAAATGAAGTAATAAACAATGCCATGTGAAGTCTGGGGTTTCACTTATGGAACTTAAAAAGAGTTTCAAAGGTGTAATACTGGGACCAAAAATGTCCTCTGCCTGCTGGTCCTCCATTCAAATAAGGACATTTCATGAGAGTATGACAACTTTCTCACCTGTTCATCTGGCACCCAAAGCAGTTGGACTCTTCTCTGGACAGCACTAGAAAAATGAGAGCTCTAGAATCTTGCCAGAAAATGTATTCAGCTTGGCTATGGAATGCTATAAGAAGGTTCCCTAGCCATCGCCCTCAGAGAGCCTAAATACATTATTAGAATGCCCAAAGTATTTTGGCCTTTGTTTGCTGATAACCCTGCAGAACTCTCTGTTGTTAGTCCCTGTCAATAGTGGACCTATCAGGTTTGATAGCTAAACAAAAGTAGCAGCCATATGTAAGATTTTGCACTTGCTGTGAAATTCCCACAAAGAGCTCCAATATATTTCTTAATGACCACTATTTTAAAGCACAGACCAAATTCCCTTTAGAATTTAATATCCTAATGTCCTCTCTTTTGAAAAAAACCTGCCCATATATTTTGTTAAAAGCTAATGTTTCAAAAATTACATTTCTGGTAATCTAACTGAAGGAAGTAATTGTATTATTATTCATAACTTGGAAAAACTGACAGCAAACTCAACATCCAGGAAAAGAAGACTGTAAATGTGGCACATGATCCAAATGGGTTCATGTCACAATACTAAAGAGTATTGATAATGTACTGTGAAAGTGTTCTGTGGCAAAGTGATGAAAGCACTGTGTGTGTATGCAGCACGGAGTCACTCCTGGCTGGGTCATATATAATTCTGACTTGTCCAGCTTGTCTGACATAGTTGTGAAGTTAGCGGACACACAGGCACTGATTTGCATACGTTTACTTCAATGAGTATTTTAATATTTTATATTCTGGACCAAAAAAAGTCACAAGATACACGCACAGTTTCTGGGGATGAGGACATAGAGGATAAAGCGGGACTATGGTGATTAACCCCTTGGACTGATTTTTAAGCTCCTTATAGAGCTTATGGGGAAAACAAAATCCCTTTATTATGTATTTTCATAGGGTCATGTACCTCTGCTTTATTTCACTTATCAGAATGATAATCTGTGTAATTATTTAATTAATTTCCATCTGCCCATTTGGTCTATCAGTCCCATTAGGGCAGGGGGTGTGTAGGGGGTGTGTGTTCTGAACTATACTACCTGACATTTAGTGATGACAGCCACGGAAAGGCAGGGGAGGGAAAGAAGAGAAGGTAAAGGGGGAAAGGGAGAAAGAAAAAGGGAGAAGTAGCAAAAAGTTTATGAAGGATACAATGGTTCCAGGGGACAGCATGCACTATTAAATTAGGGGAACACATTTTCATTGCTTCCACTTAGAACACAGCAAGGCCAAGAATCAGTGAAATCAACAGGAAGGGGGCAGAGGGATGACTTGGCACACAGCAAGTTAGGACATGGCAAGTCAGGATTCTCTAGCAGGACCAGTAGTGTGAGAGAGCACTGGCAAGGGTGACAGATGCCCAGCAGGAATGTGGCAGGAGAGCTCCAACATACTGAGGCATGGATTTGTTCCTGTATTTTCAGTAGCCTGAGGCCAGGTATACCTGGACATATGGGGAAGGGGCTGGGGAATTGTCCCCAGAAGGCCTAAGTGTAGCTGGGGATGTGAAGCCAGTAACAGATGTCAGTGCTGGTATGACCTATTTATTACCTCAATCGGCTATAGCTAAGGACATCTGATATGCCCCAAAACTAAAACCAAAGAAAGTTAAAAGAATGGTCATGAATTCAATGGTTGTGATGGTTTTCCCCCCTCTAATGTTCATAATTAGTTACTTTTATAATAAAAAGAAACACATAATAGGAAAAGGTGTTTCACTTGAAGAATTATTTTCTTTTAGCAGATGCTAAGAATTTTGTAATCCACTGTTTCTGCCTTTTCCCAAGTTCTAAGAAAACTCAAGAGTCAAATTTTTACTTCAACCACAGCAACGATTAGTGAGATAATCTAGAGAATTGCCTTCTTCTCATTCTATAGGGCTGAGGGCCACCAGGAAAAAAAAAAATCTCCAAAATCTTCTCTGTATTTTTTTACTCCTGTTGACAAGAATCTTTACCGTGCTGGGGAGGAAAATTATTTCTTTAGCCTTCAGATTCTTCCAGCTGGTGTAACAAGTTGACATGAGACAGATTAGCAAGAGAAAATCAAACTTAATTTTATATGTATGGGAATCCCACATACATTGAGAGGTTCAAAGACAGAAAGGAATGGGATAGAGGCCTGGGGTTCCAAATTCACAGGGAAATAAGAAAAAGATCAGATGCTTTAGATGTAATTAGATGTTTATCTGAGAAAGGTTACACAGATAAAATTTTATCTCCGGTATTAATTCTAAATCTATGAAAGATCCCCAGTTTAAATTCTTTCAGGTAGTTAAGGGAATTGGCAAAAAGTTTTTGGGCCTACAGGGTCTCAATTGCTTTAGCTCAATTACCACGTGCCAAAGGGGCACATTTTAGGGAGACCTGCTCTAAAGCTCTACAACCACATGAGTTAGTTCTTAAATATACACTGTCATCACTACACTGTTCACATTGTCATGTGTATGAATTACTTTTTCAGTGAGACCAGTGATTCTCAATGAGAGGTATAAAGAAGAGAGAAGGGATTAGAAGATGAAAGCATGGCCTGACAGATCAGATCAACCTGGAGGTCCCTTTCTGGATGACACAGCAGCTTACCTTCACCCTCCCCAAACCATAAGCATTGCTGCCATTGTGGGATGACATACCCATAGGAGATGTTATACCCTCCCTAACCACCCTTAAGGGGAGTTAGGAGGTAAAAAAAATAACCAGTGATGAGGATCATTTTTTCACTAAAAGATGAACTTTGGAATCAAAAGCTTATTGGCTTCAATCCTGAATTTAACACTTACCCTATGTTCCTCACTTTCAAATGGATATAAAAATCCCTTTCTTTCAATATATGAGTATTAAATGTATTCTAAATGCTAATATATAGAGCTCAGTAAATGCCCTTTAGGCATTATTTTTCAAGGAGATTTGAGAGCTCCTCTACACAGGAGTTTCTCAATCTTGTCACCACTGACAATTTTAATAGACCAAATAATTCTTAATTGCGGGGGGGAGAGTTGTGCTATGGGCTAAGTTGTGTTCCCTGACCCTGCCACTCATATATTGAAGTTGTAAATCCCGGCACCTCAGAATGTGAATGCTCTTGGAAACAGGGTTTTTAAAGTGATAATTACAGTAGAGTGAAATTGTATTACTGGGCCCTGATCCAGTATGATTGCTGTCCTTTTAAGAGGAGATTATGATACAAACATGTGCAAACAAAGAGGAAAGATCATCTAAGGACACAGTAAGAAGATGGCCATCTGCAAGCCATGGAGAGAGATCTCAGAAGAAACCAACCCTATTGACTTTATCTTGGACTGCCGCCCTCCAAGAACTGGGAGGGGAAAAAAAAAATTCTTTTGTTTAAGCCACCCAGTCCATGGTGGCTTTGTTACAGCAGCCTGAGCAAACGCTGCATGAGGGTTACCCCGTGTGTTGTAGTATGTTGAGAAGCATCCTTGGTCTCTACCCACTGATACTAGTGGCAATCTCCTAACACCACAGCTGTGACACCCAAAAATGTCTCCACACATTGCCAGATGTCTCCTAGGGGCAAAATCTTCCTCTCTGCCCTACTAAGAACCACCATTTCAGATGGCCTCTGGTCACCTCTGTTTTCCCAGTGCTCAGTGATATGGAAACAAAGGCAGGAAAAAAAAACTATTAAATTTCCTTACTACCTGTAGCCCATTGACAAGTCCTTTAAACAGGCAGAGTGGCATTCCTCTAGGAACTCAGCTGCTTCGATGTTAATACTTTGCTAAGGGCAAAAGACAGTCTTAGTCCGACCCCCAGGTTCCTGTAAATCTACTTTAACATATAAAAATTCCCTTGATGGGGCGCCTGGGTGGCTCAGTGAGTTAAGCCTCTGCCTTCAGCTCAGGTCATGATCTCCGGGTCCTGAGATCAAGCCCGCATTGGGCTCTCTGCTCAGCAGGGAGCCTGCTTCCCCCTCTCTCTCTGCCTGCATCTCTGCCTACTTGTGATCTTGTGATCTCTGTCAGTCAAATAAATAAAATAAAATCTAAAAAAAAAAAAAAATTCCCTTGGAAACTTCCTTTATCTCTACCCCCACAAGATACAGGTTGGCAATCATCCTCCAAGCATTTGAGCCACCGATACACATCTGAAAAGTCTCATGACTGAGTTTTTACTAAACTAGCCCCTTTTCCTAACAACAGCTAGCCCCCTCAGGATCCTGGAAATCTTGTCAAAATACCTGGGAGGCTTATGCTATACCTAACCTCCTCCCCCAACTTGTTAGTATATAATGGGCCATTCTTCCTGACCCCAGTGCAGTCTTTCTGCCCACAGGTCCTCTCCCCATACTTTAATGAAACCATCTTTTTACACCAAAGACATCTTAAGAGTTCTTTTTTGGCCCTTGGCTTTGAACCCTAACATCATTCCTACATCACTCAGCACAGTGATGGCTACCTAACGAAGAAGATAATCAAATATTTTCTGAATAAAGTCACTTGCCTGACTCCCTATCATGGGTCTCACTACTCCCTTGCAAAATCCTTTTGTTGTGTTTAAAAGGAAGAAAAAGGAAAAGAAATAACAGGCCCAAAATGGAGTCACTGGCCCCCACAACAGCAACCAAAACTTAATTGCACTGCGGGAATGTGACCTTTACCCAGCGAATCTGGAATTTCCTGATCAGCATTACTGACATCATCTGCATCTAGTCTTCCCCCAAATGGTGAACTTGCCTACACCAATCGTTTCTTTTCTTTTGCTAATGGCTTCGGTCCTTCCTTCAACCTTGTTTCTGACTTTAAAAACTGTCCATTTTGTACAGCAACTTGGTGCTCCTTTCTACTTGTAGATGGGATGCTGCCTGATTCATGAATCCTTGAATAAAGCCAATTAGATCTTCACATTTACTTGTTTGGATTTTGTTTTTAACAGCTGCAATTAAAGTAGTAATTACTTCCAGTTTAATTTATAGTAGGCTGTGCAATTTTTATTGGAACAGTTTTCATTTTAGCATAATTTCTGGCAATTCAGTGACGTAAATATCACATCAATTTTAAACCTTATTTTAGTTCATATTGCTCACTTACCTCATATCAGATCCTTTGAAAGATTCAGTGAGTGGTGCTTTTAGTTTCCTTAATGCACCACTCATAATTTAGCAGATGAAATGACTATGACAAATTCTTATATAACCATTTGAAGCTCAGGGAACTCAAAAAGAAAACAAATGGCCATTTAAGTGTGGAAGCGCTGAACTCTAAGTCATAATGAGACTCCACACATTAACCAGAAACCCAAAAGCATACCAAAAAGCCAAAGTCAATGGAGACATTCTTTGGAAAGGGGAAGACACAAACGTCTCTCTGGTACATTCATAAATTTGTTTTCTTAGCACTGGCTCATTTGCTGTCATATCATTTGAACAGTGATGTGTTTGGGCCGGGAGTGATGTGGGGACAGGGGTGGAGAGGGCTGACTCTGGGATGCTGAAGAGTGGCCTTAGGAACTCTGGAAGAACTGGGAACTGGTGGACATTTTGCACAGAGACAATTTCTAACCAAGTCTTTCCACTGATCTGTAGCTTGTACTCCAGTATTCATAAGACACTATTTCCAGAGTATTATTTTAAATTGATACAGTCTATTCATTTTCAAATTCATTTATTGCATTCTTTTTGTTTAATAGCTTGGAGTCAGAGTAGTAAAGATCTGATTTACCCAAGTGAAAAAGGAAAAAAAAAGACTAATATCATTTTGAAGTGCCATTTCCAAAGAATATGCCCAATGTTTCAAAGTTAGTGTTTGTGACTTTTAGTTTCAATACCAACATCCTACTCCAAGTGACAAATGACTACATTTAAAACTCGGGCAATGACCATCACATAACTGCTGTGACAGGCATGCTGGCATCCGGGCATCAGGGCCTGATAAGCACCAAAATGGTGCTGCCTTTCCAGAAATACAAAGGCTCTTAACTCCTCAGCTGTTCCTTGTGAGAGAGGTTGAAAAGAATCCTTTTCTCAAGTTAATTTCTACATGGAAGAGGAGAATGCTTTAAGGATATCCTGAAATTCAGAAACAAAACCACACAAAACTTTGTCAAGATCTCTGTGTGCTCTGCAAAGTAGGCAGACGTGCAGATGTCAATATTTTTAGACAGAGATGCTTTAGAGACAGTGAGTAATTGACCAAGTGAGGGTGTTTTAGAACTTATTTTTTCCCAGGAAAGGCAAAATGTATGAAAATCAGCTAACTATCATATTGAGAAGTCGACACTTGGGCATTTATGAATATGAAGTCTATGTGGGAACCCAAAGTGCCACACTCCAATCACCACACTGGAAAGGTCAGCAAAGCCCTCACTAATTCCTATTCCGCTTATTTCTCGGCTCAGTCTCAGCACCCTCTGCTGATCTGGTACGACGATTCTGTCTTGGACTCATTTCTGTGTCTTGAAGATCACTTCTGAAAACAGAAAATAGGAAAAAGCATCTCAGAAAATAATGATCATGATTATTCTACAGCAGCTTCTAGTTGACAAGTGCTTTCACATACACTAAACCGTTCTCTGCTCCACTGGCAAATCTATAGTAATTATCATTACTGTTATTATTATACACATTTTATAATTGAGAAAATAGTGACTAAGCAAAGATTACAGGCCGTAAGTGACAGAAGCAGGAACTGAATCCCTTATGAATCAAAATCTAGAATAGCTTAACATAAAAAAACTGGGAAAAAAAAAAAAAGTGCTGGTATCCTAACAAGACAAAGTCAGTGTCTAACAAAATCATTCTCTTGAGCCTGTCTGAGAGCTGAGGTTGTAAGGTAATCAAGAAAACAAATTCCAAAGAAAGATAAGCCCCATGAAAGAAAGGTGGGCCACATAATTCTGTCACTTTTGACACAGAACTGGGAGGAAGGTGGCTGTTGTACAACCAGGCAAGTGGACATGAGCGAACATTTTAATGAATTCTGAACTATGGGCTGGTACTGAAGGCCCCTGATACAAAGGATAGGCCACATGCATTGGCAAGCTCTTTTCCAGAAGCTTCCAATGGTGCTCATAAGAAAGACTGGGAGCAGGGTGGGAGACTGAGGAAAGCCCACTCTGGTGTCACAGGATAAAGCTGGTGAATGCGGGTGACAGGGATCAGGCAGAAAGCCCAATCTCTTCCAGGGACTCTTGTGTCCTATGAACTGAGAGCTTTCAGCTGCTGAGGGAAACTCACTGGCTCACAGGAACCAGGCAAAGATCTACTATCTCTATAGAAGGGACAGAATGTTGGAATGGGAAGTCTGCTTGAAAGTGAAGGATAGGAAATAATTTGCAAGAACACTGGCAAAGTTTCTTTGCTGCTGGGGAAATAGAAATAAAAATCTTTACCTCTGGAGGAAGGGCAGAAAATCATCTTGGGCTGGTAATCTCAAACAACACCAAGCAAAGACTTGGGCAAAGTAGTATGACTACCAAGGGAGGTGGGAAAGATGGGAAGAGAAAGCTCCAACCCCGAGAAGCAGGCACACAGGGCCTGCCCAAGACTGTAGCTGGAATAAGACAACAAGAGAGCCCCAGCAGGCTCCCACCAGGAGCCAAGCACCAAGTAATAGGCAGTAGCAGTATACTGCTGAGGGAGAGGTGTAGACATGGAGAGTTGCACCTCTGGAATGCAGGCATGCAGACAAGGCTGAAAGGTAATGAGAACAAAAGCTTCCCACAATCCAGCCCACATACTAAGCACAAGGTAAAATCAGCCCACTGGTTGAGGAATTTGATGCCTCTGATACACTGAAGGTCATGTTAGGAACCAGGAAATTCCAACCTGGGTCAACTTCCCACACTAATGGCCTAAGAGAAGAAGAAGCATGCTGTTTCCAGGCACAAACCCTATTTTTACCTCAGTATCTAAGGACCTCTGCAAGATGTCTAGCATCCACACAAGATGTACAATGCACAAAGAAGAAAAAACAAATAAAAAGTCCACTGTCAAGATATAAAGTAACCAAGAGACACAGACAGAATGACCCACATGTTGGAACCACCAGACTAAAACTTTAAGTAACTACGATTAATATGATAAAGGCTCTAGGGATAAGCTGGAGAATATACATGGAGAGATGGCTCCAGGGGTGGCTCTGAAGCACAAAGTTCATTATTGTCCCTCCCTCTCTGTAACTCCCAGAGTCTAAGAGGTTCCTCCCCCACTGTCAGTACTGTTACTCTTTCTCCCACTCCACAAAACCAGCCTGTGCCTTTTTATTAGCTGTAACTGTACCTTTTCCTCAATTTCCTCAAAAAGTTTATTAAACTTTTCGGAGACTCCTTATGTTCCTCCTTTGACACATGTGGGCCATAGTAAGAAGACTCAGTGAGTACTGCACTCAGGCAAGTCATCACTAGCCTTCTGATTTAGGACAGGAGTTGGCAAACTCTTTGTGTAAAGGACCATATATTTTGGGCTCTGAGGGCCATACAGTCTGTTGTAACTACTCAATTCTGTTGTAATTGTGAAAAGAAGCAGAGCCAACAGATAAACAAATGTGTGTGGCTATGTTCCAATAAACTTTATCAACAGACAGCAAGCCAGATTTGGCCTATGGATCATAATTTGCTATCCCTGACCTAGAACCCTATCAGTCCAGAAAGTGAATCCAATAAGCCGAATCAGAATTAAGTGTGAATCCACTAGGATACCCCCTCCCCACCCCCTGCCGGCCAAGCTGCTACCCAGAGGAGGTATCAATCTAGCCATTATACAGTTGCTGTTAAGAGAAAGAAAGAAGCATCATGCCCAGGAATAGTTAAGAAGGAACCCTGAGTTTCTGAAATAGGCAAATACATAACCTCAAAACCCTTTCTGTCCTAATCATTACCCAGAAAGTGGCCAAAAGGAAAGGTTCCTTTCTGGAGACAGCGGCATTCAGTGACCAAATTTCCTTACTAAGGTGAGTGGACTAGAAGGTGAGGGAGTTGACATTTTTAAAGGAGGCCATTCCAACACTCAGTAATATTATGCCTGCAGATTGTAGGGAGGATAAAAAGTCTAGCGAATCCCTTGACCGTTAGCCCATTATTGATTCCAGTCATTTCCTTCAAAGAATGGGCCCTTATTATTGATACATACATGAATGACCCACATGGCTCACTCAGCACCATTCAGGTTTGCAGCCTCAAAACAGGAGATCTGCCAATCTGTGGCTTCATGACCACTTTTATGACCTGTTTAACCTTAATTACTTCTTTAAAGGCTCCATCTCCAAATATAGTCACATTGGAGGTTAGAGCTTCAACATATGAATTTTAGGGGTAAACAATTCAGTCCATAAGAGCCTCCCTGGATCAGGCCATTCAGTTTTGAAAGAATCTAATAGCAAGCAAATAGCTATTTTTCAAAAAGGTGTGTAACTTGTAGCTATGCTAGGCTGGACACAAGTCCAAAATCCCAAAGGGTGCCTCTAGGTTGAAGCTGCCTCCTTTCTCTGAGGCTCTAGTAGGGAAAATCATTAGTCTTAAGACTTGTAGCTATAAAGGGTGATAGGGTTGTGGGAACTCAACTCACTTCTCTGTGTGTGGCTTTTCCCTATCAGAGAATTTGCTCTGGCATTTACTGGATATAGAATTATGAGTACATAACCCATCAATTCCTATATACATACAAATTTAAAAACAATAGTATAATGAATTAGCCCAAAGGGCCCCATCTAATGTTAATGTTAAAGTCACATTAACTTCCCTTACCCATTGTGAGTCTTACCCAAACCCCATTAAATCAATTCAGATGCTTCCTTTTCCCACAGGACTGGGTAGGATGGTGAATCTGGTACCTATATCCAACAGAACCACAAAATCCCTTCCCAAAGTTCAGCAGCACATTCCAGACTGGTATGAATAGCCTTTCATCTCCCTTAGGGACAGGGGAACCTCAGCACCACTTTTTTTTTTTTTCTTTTTAAGATTTATTTATTATCTGAGAGAGAGAGTACGGGGCGGGGGGGCAAAAGGAGAGGCAGTAAGAGTCCCAAGTGGACTCCACACTAAGCGCCAGGACTGACATGGGGCTCAATCTCATGACCCTGAGATCACGACCTGAACTAAAAGCGTCAGTTGTTTAACTGAGCAAGCCACCAAGCAGACCTAAGCTTCAATTCTAATCAACAAAACCAGAATAGCCAGAACAATTCTAAAAAAGAAAAATTTACATTGACAACACCAAATGCTGGTAAGGATGTAGGGCAAGAAAAAATTCTCATTCACTGTCAGTGGGAATGCAAAATGGCATAGCCACTCTGGAACAAAGTTTGGCAGTTTTTTACAAAATCAGATATAGTCTTACCATACAATCCAGCAATTGCACTCCTTGGTATTTCTCCAAGGGCACTGAAAACTTAATACAAAATCCCGTACTTTGTTTTTAATTAGAATATAATTGTATATAGCACTCTAATCATAATCGCAAAAACCTGGAAGCAACCAAGATGTCCTTCAATAGGTGAATGGATAAAAGAACTGTAATACTCCAGACCATGGAATATTATTCAGCACTAGAAAGAAATGAGCTATCAAGCCTCAAAAAGACATAGGGCAATTTTAAATGAATATTAGTAAGTGAAATGAGCCAATCTGAAAAGCCTACATACTGTAGGGTTCCAAATAAACGACATTCTAGAAAATGCAAAACTATAAAGACAAAAAAGTCAGTGGTTGTTGGAACTTGGAGAGAAGGAGAGATGAACAGGTGGAGCATAAAGGATTTTTAGGGCAGGGAAACTATTCTTTATACTATAATGGTGGACAAGTCATTATACATTTGTTAAAACTGATACACTATAAAATACAAAGAATGAACTCTGATGTAAACTGGAAAAGGAAAGTTAGAGGCCTCATACTAGCTGATTTCATGACTTATTATAAAGCTGCAGTAATGAAGACAGGGTGTCACTGGTGAAAAGACAAACACATAAATCAATAGAGCAAAACAGTGATTCCTGAAATAGACCCACACATATATAACCAATGGATTTTTGATTAAGGTACCAAAATTATTAAATGGAGAAAGGATAGTTTCTTCAATAAATAAAGCAAATGGAGGCCCACATGTAAAAGAGAAAAACTGAACCTCAGTCTATACTGTGCACCATTTATAAAAAACAACTTGAAATAAATTATAGATTTAAATGTAAATCCTAAAACTTCTAGAACATAATAGAAAACCACTGGGTTAAGTAAAGAATTCCTAGGTAGGACACCAAAAAAGCACCATATGTAAAAGAAAAGAAAGAATTGACAAACTAGATTTCATCAAAACTTAAAACTGTTCTTTGAAAGACACTATCAAGAAAATGAAAAGGCAAGCCATAAAGTAGGAGAAATATTTGCAAAACATGTTTCTGCTAAAGAACTCATAAATCCCAAAAGTAAAAAACCACCCAATTTAATAAATGGGCAGAAAATTTGAGGAAGCACTTCATCAAAAGACATAGGAATGGCAAATATGCATGTGAGGGGAAGTTCAACATCATGAATCCTTAGGGAAATGCAAATTAAAATTACAGAAAAATACTACTATATCTTTATTAAAATGGCTTTAAAAATAAAGACAATGACGAAGTACTGGCCAAGATATGGAGCAACTAAGAGCTCTCATATATTGCTGGTGGAATACAGCTGGGCAGTTTCTTATCAGTTGAACATACATGAACCATATGATGCCATTCCTAGATATTTACCCAAGAGAAATGAAAACTTATGTCCACACAAAATACTGCACTCAAATCCTTATAGCAATTTTATTCATAATCCCCTAAACCTGGAAACAACCCAAATATGCCCATCAGCTGTTGAATGGGTAAATAAAATGTGTTGCAAATGAACTCTCATGGGGTTAAGATGAAATTCAGATTAACAGAGAAAATTATTACTTTCTGATTTTATAAGAATATTAGAGAAACCTATTTCCTAAAATTTCCTCTTTAAGACACTATGAGATAGTTAAAATGATTCATAAGTGACAATCTTTATCCACTCACAGGTTCTTGAAGCCACAGAAGCTGTCACTAACAGCTAAATCCATTAATGAGTGTATTGAGAGCCAATAAACACTGACTGACATATTCTTTCATTCATAGACTTACTGAGTGCCCACTATGGGCCACCCAGGCACTAGGCTACACACATGAAGATTCAAGGTCCAATGCACATGCTCTCTAGAAAGGCAGTCAAGTGGTTAAGTGCAGAGTGCTGGAGCAGAATCAGGGGCTTCTGAATGGAACTGTGGAGAAAGGAGTAACAATTGCCATCTAGATGAGGAAAGGGGAAAAGGCAATGAGGCAAAGCAAGGACACAAAAGCAAGGTAACATGACTCTCTGAGGTGACTATGAGTAGTTCGGCTTAGATGAAACAAGGAGTTGTGGGGTGGAGAGGGGGTAGGCACATATGAAATTCCATGAGCCAGTAGGTAGGCTGGGGCCATGACAGTAAGAGCCTTGGATGCTGGCAAGTCCCCAAAGGACTTTAAAGTCCAACAAAAAGAACACAGTGTGTTTCAGATCTCACTCGCAGAATGAACTGTAACGACTAGAGGCAGAGAGGCAGCTGGACAGCTGTTGCAGCAAGCTAGAGAGAAGAGCAAAAGGCCTGTAGTCAACTGCAGCACAAAGGGCTGATGGAGAGAGATATCACTAAGGTGCTGCGCTGGGTGGGGGCCCCAGGAGCAGCTTAGTAACACTTGGGAATGTGTTAAAAATGCAAACTATTAGGCCCCACCCCAAATGTACTGAATCAGACTCTTCGAATTCGGTAAAGCCCAATAATCTGTGTTTTAACAAGTCCTTCAGATGTCTGTGATGCATATTTAGATCTGAGCACCACCTACCCATACGACTTTGGCAGATGACTGAATATGAAAGGTCAGGGCGAATGAGAGGTTGAAAACGATTCCTGGGTGTCTGGCTTGAACAGTGAGGCAGACTACCACACTCCATTCACTGGGGGAGGGGACAGTGGAGGGCAAGCAGCTCTGGAGAGAAGGGACTTAGACTCTCTGGGGCAGAATATTATATATATAAAAAAATGAAGCCTAGAAATGTGAAATGATATACCAGGACCACTTCTCTTACTGTTTTCATTCTGTTTGATGTAAATATATTTTATAGCTCAAAACAGTAAGATAAACAAATATTTACAGACATAAGAACCCAAGATCAGTCTGCAGAAAATAGTTTTTGGGTTTTTTGCTACTCATGAAAATACTGCTTTATATGGAGCACTGTGTTGCATAGAACCTCTCAATCATTTATGGAATTAAGAGAATGTGTTGGAACTGAAATAGTATGTTCCAGGACAAATATCTCAAATATGCCACTGTGGTACCATAAAACATGCCTATAAGCTTAAGATGTAAAGTGCCAAATTTTGTTTAAAAGTAAAGATATGGAGGCTTTTCCTGATTCTGCCTCTAAAGCTACATTATGGCATAAGCTTATCTGCACTGTTCTATGCTTAGCTTAAGTCAGGAGGCCTGGATTCTGATCTTGGCAGTGCCACTAACTAGCTGTGGACCTTGACCTAGTCAATATACCATTGTGGGGTCCAGCTTCCGTCTATAAACTGAAGGGATTAGATGAGATGAACACTTAGATCCTTCTAGCTGTAATATTTATTATTTATGAGGATGAATCGATGGGATTGTGCTTCTCAGTGCTTTGTTATATGACTTTTTTTTTTAAAGGTTTTATTTATTTATTTAACAGAGAGAGAAATCACAAGTAGGCAGAGAGGCAGGCAGAGAGAGAGAGAGAAGGGGAAGCAGGGTCCCCACTGAGCAGAGAGCCTGATGCGGGACTCAATTCCAGGACCCTGAGATCATGACCTGAGCCAAAGGCAGAGGCTTAACCCATTGAGCCACCCAGGCACCCTATATGATGACCTTTGGAGGCCATGATTATTGAGAATGCCTGGGGTGCAGAAACTCTGGCTACAAGGTGTCATAGCCATTGGTATCAGATTTAGCTCAGCATGAACAGGGTGATTGCTGGTACAAGAGGAAATAGTTAGCTAAGCAGTGGCCTTCTTTCCCAAAATGCAAATTTAAATAATGCTCAGGTGAGAGTAATACAGCCAAAATCTCAAACTTTCATAAAACATTACTGTTTGAACCACCAAATAACTCATTGGCCTGATAAACCTCCTCATAATGCTTTCCCTGAATAAACACACTTCCTATTGTCCCAGTGATTCAGCTATGAAACTACAAAATCTCAGTACAGTAAACTTCTCCTTCTTTGTAAAGACAGTACACAGCTTAATGGTCCAAAGAGCTGACTTTTGACACACTGGTTACAATCTTAGCTCCATCACTGACCACTTAACTGCTGAGTGACCTTGGGATGGAAATTTACCTTTTAGAGTCTCAAAGAGGCTTTTAAAAAGGTGAAAAGGTCAACAGTATCAAATCTGCTAAGAAGTCAAAGAAGGTCTTAACTTTGGATTTAGCAAGATGGAGTTCTTTGATGATCTTAATGAAAATGAATTCAGATGAATGATGGAACTGGCTGAAAATGTGGAGTAAGTGGGAGATAAGGAAGTGGAAAAAGCAGGTAGAGACCATCCATTAAGTAAAGGAAGGAGAGGGGCGCCTGGGTGACTCAGTTGTTAGCCACCTGTCTTTGGCTCCTGTCATGAACCCAGGGTCCTGGGATCAAGCCCTGCATCGGGCTCCCTGCTCAGAGGGAAGCCTGCTTCTCCCTCGCCCACTCCCCCTGCTTTCCTGTGTTCCCTCTCTTGCTGTGTGCTTCTCTCTGTCAAGCAAATAAAATCTTTAAAAAAAAAAAGAGAGAGAGAGAGAGAAAAGAAAGGAAAGAAAGATACAACAGTGGCTGCAGGATGAAATGGGAATGAGAGGAGACACTGAATGAAGTGTTATTTGTTGGCTGGTTGGTTTTAAGATGGAAAGATTTGAGCAATCTGAGAAGCCAATGACAAAGATACAGTTGAGGGGGAACAGCTGCCAGACAAAGAAGGGATAAAGTTCCTAACAAATGGGTGGGAACAAGGAAGAATTAGCCTCTGATAAGACATCCCTTTATTATAAAAGGAGGCAAATATAAAAAGAGGAATAAAATATGTACAAATATAGACAGATTTATACATTTGGTGTTGGAAAGATGAGGACTCCCACATAATGGCTTCTATTTTCTCTACAAAGGAAGAGAAAAGGTCTCCAGCTGGGGGTGCAGCCACTGGAAAGAGGTGAGGTTTCAAATAATCCTTGTTAAGAACCAGACAAAGAAATGACCACAGAAACAGTAAAACTGCTAGGCAGTTTGGAGGGCCCACTGAAGTGTAATCACAAAATTACAGTGGAACAAAGCTGCCCCATTGTACTGCAGATCACTCCTGCAGGTGGAGATTAATGAAAATGTAATATTCTTTGGCATTGTTCCTTTCTTCCTTATTTACCGGTAGGACCTGGAATAGGTCCCCTCCACCATTCTCATTTCCCAGACAGATTCCTAAATGCTAACAGGAAAAGGAATCAAACTGCTGCATTTATTCTACACTAAACATGACTGGGAACATCTAGGAAAGGACTGAAAGTTTTCTAAACTCTGAGTCAGTGCCTATGGCTAAACTGTAAACTTCTCGTTGGAACAATCTGTCTTTTGAAAACAACTTCTAACAAGTAAGCAGAATTATTATAGTGGGATTCCACTTCTAAGCAAAAATGTACAGAAACAAGTAGTAAACTGGAAATCTTTACCTTAATGTGTGTGAATTATTACCTTAAATCAGAAAGCACAAATACTCTTTTGTTTGAAAATCAACTGCATGGAATTATAATTTCTCAGAGTACACACTACTTCTTGATGATGAGAACTCACCTATGTGATGCTTCCCAGGCTTCCTCTTCTTCTAGAAGATCTCTTATGATATCTGAACTGGAACTAAAAGGACAGGTACATCAATATTGTCAGACAATAAAAAGACCATAACCACATGGTTCCATTATATGAAATTCTAGAAAACGCAAACTAATCTCTAGTGATAGAAAGCAAACTAGCAGATCAGCGATTGTTTACCTGCAGGGGGCAGAGGGTGGGCAAGGAGGGATTACAAAGTGGCACAAGAAAACTCTGGGAGTGAACAGGTTCATCGTCTTGATTGTGAAGATGATTTCATAGCTGTATACATGTATCAAAACTCATCAAACTGTGTGCTTTAAATACTTGCAGTTTATTATACATCAGTGTAAAAAAACTTAATAAACTAGCAATAATAAAGAAAAAATCATTAAAGTTTAAATAAATCCTTCAACATAAAACCTCATTGAAATGGAATATAGTCACAAACCTTTTTAATCTCCCATGGCAACCAAAGATCAAACTGTGTTTAAAAAACTGCACTCTAGTAATGAGATTCACAAAGAGACATTAAGTTCCTAAGTGGCTTTTAGTCCCTTTGTAACCAAAGTAAGGTAAAATTTAATTAATTTGAACTGTGCTAATAATGGAATTTGTTATAATACAACCTGGCTTAAAGTGTCATATAATCTTTGGTCTATCTGGGTAAAATAAGGTTATAGAGGACATGTATAATTTCTTAAAAAGAAAAAAGTGTTCCAAAGCTTTTAGCATCTTGTTCTTACCCAAATAATTCTTACCAAGTAAGTAAAAAGAAAAAAGAAAAAAAGATGTACATCAATAGCAAAAAAGCATTTCTTTAGGTATCCAAGACAAAAAATGTGAAGGGCATTTCATGGGACAACTCAGAAACAGGAGTCACTACCCCAGGGTGGAGAAGGCTAAAACAAAGGAATAACTTTCTCCTGGATGAGAAACAATAGGATTGGCTATGTCTATGCCAATCATTTTCTTTATCTTTTTTTTTTTTTAAGATTTTATTTATTCATTTGACAGAGATCACAAGTAGGCAGAGACGCAGACAGGGAGAGAAAGGGAGGGAAGCAGGCTCCCAGCTAAGCAGAGAGCCCAATGCAGGGCTTGATCCCAGGACCTTGAGATCATGACCTAAGCCGAAGGCAAAGACTCAACCCACTGAGCCACCCAGGTGCCCCATGCCGATCATTTTCTAATGATACTCAGATAACATAAGGTTAAAAATTATGGAGCTATAAAGCACCAATGAATCATTCTCAACTACTGACAAATCACTTTGAAGCAATGTTTGCCTGCAGTACATGAACAAAACAAGGCAACAACCATCAATCAACACTCCTCTGTGCCAAATATTTTACTCAAGGAGTAACCCTCAAACCCTAAGCCTCTCAAGGAGCTATATGCACGAGCCCTTCTGACTGTGGTTCGTTCATGTGTGCAATGGCCTCTGTGTGGCGATTCCATGTGCTGTGTAGGGGTAGTGACCCTCCAACACAGCTAGCTCAGTGGTTCTCAGGTATTTCAGGATAAGGATCCTCAGATGGAAGCAACAATGCATTCAGTATAGGTGGCTTGAGAAAATAAATAATAATAAAGTATTGTAAATTTAGTAAGTCTTCTAGTCTCTATTTTACTCATTACAGTGGCACATGCAGGACAGTGAAAAAACAGTAGTACCTGGATTTGTGAGACACTCTTTAAAGATAATTCTTGTCTAAAGATAATTCTTGCTATGTATGTGCGCTCTTGCAGGCCCAGTGAATCATTCCTTCAAGCCCCTGGGTTGGGAAGATGTGATCTAAAGTATTAGAGTAACTAAGCATCTGCTACTCTTCTACATTTGAGGGTGCCCCCCCCAAGCAAATGCCAAGTGCCCCTAATAACATTCATTTTAATGGTAATTTGTACTTTACTATAAACTGTCTTAAAACAAGCTTTCTTATTAAATAGCTAGCTAAATGTAGTATTAGGAGAGAAGGGAGAGAAGCAGAAGGTCCTTAAGGAGATATAAGGCAGATTTCACCAACTTTATGAATTTTCTAAGAGACAGACCCTCATAGCCACTTACTAGGGAGGGCTAATAGCTACGGCCACCCTCACCCACACAGAAGCAGTCTACCTTTTGCACTCCCAACAGCCCAACCTTTGTTATTCCTTATTTCACTTTTAACTACTACAACTTTATAAAGAAAACTGAAGTTGTTTTCATGGACCTTTTTTTTCCTCCTCTCTCCTGTTACACTGATACCATCACCCACTCTTCTTCACCTGGACAGAGCTACGGCAATGTTTCTCAACCTTTTTCTTTATCGTCCCCCACCTAAAGATCTTTTTTAGACTTTTTACTTTTCCATAATTGCCTTTCTATGAGATTTTAATACTGAAATATTATGTGTACCTGTTTATATATTGTATGTGTGTATATATATATATATATATGCTTTATACAGAGAGTAAGTTGTTTTTTTGTGTTTTGTGTTTTGTGTTTTTTGTGTGTGTGTGGGGGGGTGGGGGGCCATCCAGCCTCCTTGCTGCCAAGAACCAAGTTCCATACACTAGGGAGCTTCTATCAAGAAGCCATAAGCGAAGGGAATGGGAGTTAAAGGGTGGTCATGAGCTCTGGGTCCTGGTAGGTGTCACAGGGCTAGAAGAAATAAAGTGTGCTTCTTCCCAACATCCCTAACAACACAAACATACAGTTGTGGGGTTTTTTGTTGTTTTTGTTTGTTTGTTTTTAACAGAAAGGTTACAAAGCATCCCTCCTGTTCTAGCTAAGTAAGCAGGACATCTGGGCCTGTCAACTAACCTAGTCGTCTTGTGGTCAATTTTCCTACAGGCTTTCAAATCACCAGTAGAAATCATTGATTTGTTAAAAGAAAATATTTGCAGTACATTAGTGACATAAACCTAAGCAGTTTTTGCTACACTACCTCAGTGAAAACAGATGGTAGAGGAGGTTCACAAAAAACACTTCTCAAAAATGGTCTGCAGTCTCCTCTTGCTCTGTGACTTCAATACCCCTGACTAGACACGCTGCCCAGCTAGCTCCCAACATCCTCAATTCTCGCCTCCTTTCCTTCCACCCCAGTTTAGTTACCAATCTGAATGACAAATTTTACCTACAGTGATATTTCAGGATTATCTGCTATATCTGCTACTCTGATTCTAGTCACCACTAAGAAACTGAGAGTTGAAAGCCTGGATGGCTCAGTTCAGTGACCATCTGATTCTTGATTTTCTGCCCAGGTCATGATCTCAGGATCATGAGATCAGAACCCAGGTAGGCCTCTGAGCTGGGTACGGTGCCTGCTTAAAAAGATTCTCTCCTGGGGTGCCTGGGTGGCTCAGTGGGTTAAAGCCTCTGCCTTTGGCTCGGGTGATGATCCCAGGGTTCTGGGATCGAGCACCGCATTGGGCTCTCTGCTCAGCAGGGAGCCTGCTTCTCCCTCTCTCTCTCTGCCTGCCTCTCTGCCTACTTGCGATTTCTACCTATCAAATAAATAAATAAAATTTAAAAAAAAAAAAAAGATTCTCTCTCTTCCTTTTCCTCTGTCCCTCCCACATCTCCCAAAAAACAACTAAGAGTTGACGCTAATACAATTAAAACAGCAGAGAGACTTGTTCGTTCCTTTTTAAAGTAATGCACTCACCAAATTCTACTTAAAAACCACATTCCTGAAATTACACATACAGTTTCACAAATAGGATTTTACAAAGAGACTACTGGGCACAATAGTATTACTAAAATTAACACTCACAGATCTCTTCCTTGTGGATAGTAATTAATATTTTTGAAGTCTTAGTCATTTTATTATGCCTTGGAGATCAAAAATTCCTTTCATATACTTTCAAGACATCTAAAAAACCCTCCACAGGAGAAAATACTCACTCTGTTATACAAGGGGTCAGAGCATGTTATGAGTCTACACAGCTATAGCTTTTAATTCTCAGACAACAACTTTTCAGAGTAAATCTCAGCTCCTCTACTATTTGGGTTTGAACATTCTGGTAGACCATGCTTTAAGAAGCTGGATGAACATGAGGTCAGGTACGTAAAAGTCACAGCTCCCTATATAAGGGTGTTTAAACTGTGTTCTCTGATGTTACCATTAGTCCAGGCTAAACCAGGAATTATTCTATAGACTAAACAGACATAAGAAGGACTCATAGACAAAAATATTAATCTTGAATTCTATGGAATTCCCAACCTCTGTTCAGAAAGATTCTAGTAGATCTATTTAAAACACCCATACTTAATTTTCATAACACTTAATCTTTATTTTCAGCTCAAACCTTCAGAAATGTAAGCTAAACTGTTTTTGGCTTGTTGGTCTTGGACCTAACTGGACTTTCTATACCGTTTTACTCTTGTTATTCTCTTACCAAAAGTAGTAGCACAACATTTTAACAGGCAAAGGAAAACGCATTTTGCATCCTTCTTTTGCAGTATCTGATTTCATCGTACTAGTTAAGATTTTACCACCAAAGCTGAAAAGATACCTAATACCTCTCACAATGGTATATGACTGATAAGACTACCCAGAGAATAAGAAATCACAGATTTTAGTAACAAACAGTCAAGTTTCAGTGCTGTTCCTGTTACTTGATATGTAATACTGGGCAAGTTACTTAGTCTTTCCAAGTCTTAATATTCTCACCTATAAGGTCAGGATGGTAACACATGCAGTTCATGAGGACATTTTAAAGTTTAATCAATAAAACATGGAGAATGGTTAGCACAGAGCTTAGCACATAGTAAGTGTTCAATAAATAGTGCTTCCATTTTCATATAACAAATCTGGGTCTGAATTACATGAATAACTGCCTCAGCATTATGCTTTCATTTGCACTAGGAAACCTGATCACTATGTGCTCTATTTTAATCTCCGATTTCCACTGTTTCTATGACACCAGGGTGCAAATTCATCAGAACTTGTTATTTATCCAGCATGGCAGGTACACAGGGTACAGTGGGGTAGAAAAAATGCAAACATCTGCTATAAAAAATCCTGTGGATTAAAGATTACTTACAAGTGGGATTTTGCTAT